AACCATAAACAACAGCATCAAAAATTCAAGAGAAATGTTGTCGAAAAAATCACTGCTGGCAGAGGATGATTACCAGCAAGTAACAACAATTTTGGATAAATATATAAATTACAAGGAGTTCAGTCGAAATTAAATCATTCGCAACAACCCTTTTTACACTAATAAAATCCGATACTACGTTCCAATTTTGTTGATGAAGAAGTTGAGAGTAGAAATCACTGCAACACATGAGAAATTGGTGCCAAGGGTTTGATGAACAAATCTCCTTATTGCCTCTCCCCCAATTTTTAGCGTTAACACAGATGAAGAAAATCTTTATTGCTTCTCCCCCTATGCTCTATGAATAAAACTAAAACAGGCATGGGCTATGGTTGGGATACTCGCGCCTTTTACTTGGGCTCTGCAAGATCTTTTGGAAAAAGCCCAATGGCCAGGGTCAATGTGCCCTATTGGTGGGAGGCCTGTGACCAGGGCCAATGTGGTGGCCTTGGCCAGGGTCCAGATCTTTTCCTATTCTAATCCATTTTTCAGTCAATAAATAAAAAAATTAAACTAATCGAACATTTAACTTTCACTTTTGAAAAATCAAGTTATTGAAAAAAAAAATCTTATATCATAAGTTTAGGAATTTAATTAATTCAAAAATTTCAGAAATTATTAATAATATATATATTTTTTATTTTTTACATTTTTTATACTATTCTCAAAATTGTGATAATTTAAACGATGTGTCCTTTTTTATTTTATCATGATATAAAGTGAAATTTTTATTTAAAAAATAACCATTATCTTTCTATTTAGACGACCATAGGGCCACTAATTCGTGGTGACAACTCAGCATCATAGATGGGATACAATACATAGAGTCATAGTTGTATATTGTTAAGACATCTAGTCAAATATCACAACCACAACATTTGTCAATCATTTACATTTACATGAATAATCGTCACATTAAATTATTACAATTCTATGAGATAGCAATAGTAAACATCATGATTATTTGTCACGTTTCGTGTGAATTCATGTCAGATGAATTGATCACAAGAATACAATAAAGAATGAGTGGGAGTTATAATTGCTTTTTATTAAATAACTAGTTTTGGCCCATGCAATGCATGGGCTATCTCATTTTTGGAGGTTATGTTAGCGAATATATAATCGATGAAATTAGGAAATGAACTTAAT